CATCCAGGTCTTCTCTTGGCATTGTGAGCATGGGTTTTTTCTTCAGAGGCGACAGGCTGTCTTCCTCTCTTTTCGCTGCAGGTTTTCCTTGCACCATCAGTTTACTTTGTGTCAGCAGATTTGTTCAAAATAAGCAAAAAATATGAGGTTGAAGCTGTTGCAGAGGGCAAGCAACTGTAGTGAAACTGACTGGAAATCCTTGTTTTTTTTATTATTGTTAACTCTCTGGATTTAGTATCACATGTAGCTAAAACAAACAATGAAGTGGAGAATGGTAACAACAAAATGGGCTTAAATAAGCAAACATATTTAAGATTAGTGAACAAAAGAAGACAGCAGTGGGCAAAAGTAGTTGTTAATTTGTTAATGGCCTACGTAACTGCTGAAATGCTGCTAGTTTCACAAAGCTGATGTTAGAAACCTTACACAATGTTAGGTGACGTATCATGCTATCACTATGCTACAGTAGCACATCATGCTAATAAGAAATGAAAGTTTTTTTAATTCACATAGTAACACTTCTTCACCTGAATTTTAAAAAACACTCTGCCTCTTGCTTTCTCCATGACTAGGTATTATTTAATTTAATGTTGCAGTGGGTAAACAGCAGACAAACAGTCAAAGAAAAACCTGAAAGTTTTGAGTGGCCACAGGTCATGGACATATGAAGCTGCTGAAGTACATCCAACAACAGCACAAGTGGAATCCAAGCTTGTGTTTTAATGAAGTGCTAATAAAATGCTTTTTATATTTCGCTGTGTTTGCAGTTAGCTACTTGAATACTAATGCATTGGGAAACAGGAAGCTGGCATATGGTGAGGTGTCATGACAGTGGCTTCTAAAAAAAATATTATTATCATATTTAAACTAACTACCCCTAACATCGGCCGTCCCCCAATATCGGCCACTTGCGCGTATTGCGCATTTCATCTCTCTCTCTCCACAAATTGCTCAGGCTCTTCTCTGAGGTAAAAAAAAAAGGTTTGCCGCCATGGTAGTGTTACGTATATGGCGTAAGGGTGCCCACAGAGGACAAACTTAACGTCATTGTGAAGCATTGTAAAGCACTGAATCTGGTAGGAATGATGCATAAACACGATTTCTCATTTGATCAGGCACACAGCAAAGAGCTGTGCTCTATACTTAGTTGAACAAGCAAATCAAGTTGAATAATAAAACAATACAATAACGTCACATTTTACTAACAAATATATACAAATATTTTATGTTTTTCACAATTTTATACGCTGAATTTTAGGCTGAAAGATGAGTTACGGAAAACTGGAAGTGAGGTGGCCGATATTGGGTGACCCCCATCATTCTAGCGATACTAGTGTCAAAGTAAACAAAAACGTTATTATTGAAAAAACTGTTTTCTCATCATGTCAAATGACTCTTGGACATTAATCTACACATGTATCTCCCCCGAAAAACATTGATTTGGGTGAGTAAAGTGCTTTCATTTATTTACAGTTAGCTTAGATTCCTGATGTTTTGTTTTGAGGTGGCCGATAACAGGGGTAGCTACACTACATGCTATTAAGAAACTAGCCTGAATGGATCAGGTCCTGTGCTACTTGAAGGTCTTGTGCCAAACCTGGTGCAGATATGCATAAATGAATCAAATATCAGTTTAATCAAATCAAATGAATCAAATATCACCACAGTTATTCCATTTAAATTACCTGATGACTTGCTATCATGTGTGCTAGTGATGTTTTAATTTTTAAAGAATGTAATCTTTTTTTCTCTTTGAACAGCCAAGTAGTTTGTACATGTATGAAAAAGTAATGGACTTCCTCTGATTGAAAGGTATACAAACCCTGACATAGCCTGGAATTCAAGCTGATATTTTGCACTTCAATCTCTTGATCAATACAGAGTACAGAGCAAATATACCAAAATTGTCACTGTCCGAATGCACTGTATGAGAGTATGTGGGCATATGTATCTATTTTTGTGATTTTGTATACTTCAGGTGAAATATCAGCATGATCTGGAAACAAAGGGTCATTCATGTACAGTGCTGGACACAAGTTCACTGTAAGGTTTCTAGCACGGTCAGATGCTCGCAGATGTAACTTACAGAAAGGGCTTTACTGATAGAAACAGAGTTCAAAGTCGTAGTTGATAACCAGGCAGAGATCAGATCCAGAAGGCACACGAAAGATACAAAGATCAGACAAGGCAACAATCCAAAAAGGGAAAAGCAGTAGCGTGGTCAAAGGTAAAGGCAAGTAGTCATAATCCAAAATCAGAGACAAATGCAACCAAATCCAAAGGGCAGAGCAAAAAGGGCAGAGACGAGAAAACGATAAGCAAAGGTCATACACGAAATATACAACAATGAATAAACGCTGAGTAGATCTCAAAAATGGATACAATACCTTTACTAAGCTAAAGCCCGGGCTTATATACTATATCATATGACACATAACACAGGTGATTCATATAACTCTGGAGACCTAGAGTGCTGATAGGAGCGCGGTGTCACGTGAGACGTCATGTGACTTCCCATAGGATCCTTGGATATTGAGTACGGGAAGATCAGAAGTCATGTGATCTCCCAGAGGATTCTGGGAGATTGAGTCCGAATCTACAAGGGGTTTCGGAGGCTGTGTGACATTCACAAGTCTCAAGCCACCATCTTCATTGTAGCACACAACCGTGGTGCTTTTTTAAACATGTACTCATTGTTGCTGGTAACAGTGGGTTGGGCTTTTCATTTTAATCTTCAAAGCAATGTTGAAGGCATGCTTTCAGTCTGTTGTGGGGAAGGATTGAGTTTTTGAGTATACTTAAACTAATAAGTATTTCTGCTGTACTAAAAAAACAAACTAATATTTGCTATACATACATGTTTTGCCCTCATAACGGTATATTTAAGTATGTGTTTGTTTGGAAGCAAATTAAATGGTAGTTAATTTCTTTTTTCACATTATCCAAATGCATATTTGTGTGTGTGTGCAGGGGGGCTGTGAGGGGTTGGAAGAATATAACTGAAGCTAATGCTATAATAGGCTAACTGCAGTTGTCAAATGGAATTGTTTTGACAGAGCTGTGTAAACCAAAGCCCATGCTCCATTGCAAATTTACAATGTTTGAGTTGTTCACTCATAAAGCATTAGTGTAACATACCAGCGAGAACTAGGGGGCATCTTTCATCAAAGTGTTTTGGCAGGTCCAACTGATCAATCAGAGCATGCCATGTCATCAAGCCACACCCCCAAAGGTACTGTAAACCCCAACAATAAAATGTTAATCTCAAACTCATTTTGTCCATTATTGCAAAGGTGCACCAATATGACTGAGGTTGTTGAAATAAATATCTTATACATCCTCTGACCCATGGTCTGACAGAGAAGTTGAAAGTTTGCAAAGAGCTATTGTGGAGAAAATAGGTAAAAGGTGAACATGAATTATGTCAAAAACTGGTAAGTTGCGCAGGATGCAAACACTCTCCATAAACCTGTTTCTGTGAAATTGAAAAGAAACATGATGAACAATGGCAAGCTGATTTAAATGACCATCTTATTGGAGAATAATGACAATATGTAATTTATGTACCACTGTCATTTTGTTTGTCAAAAACGAACCCAAACTAGCTCCTGTTCAATAGTCACCACACATGAACCTTGTCCAACTCATTCACTCGCAAAGTCGATCTACACAGAGCTCTCACTGGCTTTTTTGGTGCAACCAGAATGTTCACCATAGCCTCTTGCCTTCTTAGCCTCTTAGGCTTCATTTACTTTTCTTAAAACACTAACTCTTAAATACTCGTGCTCAGAGTCTCATGGATTGAAGAGCAGAGTTTAATCCTACAGATAAGAATGAATACGATCACCTGATTTGTCAGCATCTTTTGAAATTTGGCGGAAAAATTTAAATCGAGCTTAGCGTTTTAGCAACTCAAAGAGGCCGAAGAAAAATGGATGAGGGGTGGAGGTTCTAGATTTAAAACCTGTTGAGGGTGGGGCTTCTAGATTAAATAACAGTTGAGGATGTGGTTGAGTAGGTGGTTATCCATTCAAAACTGGAGGATAATAAACTGTTGAAGGTTTGCTGTTTTCATGAAAATGGCTGACTGACGAAAGGGCATGGTTTCCAGGAAAAACGGTTGAGGAGTGGGAAGGCTGTATATCCTGGGGTGGGACATCCTGGGCGGGACTTTCAACTAACACACACTAAAGATTGTTTGAAGGAGCAGGACTTACCGTAAGTGCATGCTTATGATTTGATAAAGGGGCAGGGCTTATGCAACATTTCGGGGCATGGTTGATGACGTGACATGCACTGATTGGTCAGTTGGACCTGTCAAAACACTTTGAAGAAAGGTACCCTTATTTCTGTCTCTCATACCTTTAGTTTTTTTGTGATGAGATGTTGTGTTCTCTTGGCCACTTTAAAGTAAGAGTTTAACATGAAAAGTGAAAGTGAAGTATAAAGTGGTGTCTGCTATGTATGCTAAAGACAGTCTTTAGGCTCCTCTTCTCTTCTGGCCTGGGTACAAGTACAAATTAAAACCAGATTATCTCCATAATTCCGCAGCTAAATTTAATGATCTGTAGTTGATAAACTAGTAGGTTTGTGGAGATTTTATTGGGTGTTGAATAATGTATTTGTCCTAAACAGTTCATTATAGAGTTGTGCTTCAACAGCCAAGATGCAACACATTTAAGAGGCATTTCAGAATTTCAGCCAGTTGAATACAGTATATTGATGTGCAGTCATGTTGCTTATATTCATATTTACAGCTTGGTGCATGCTAAGTAAAAGTTGGAGTTTTGGACCTATGACAAAATAAAGAGTAGGGATGTAAAAATTTTGGCAAGCTTTAAGGTGATGCTAAGGCAAGTGAAGTAATGCAAGGAGCCCTACATAAAGTTTTCAGGAGGCCCAATATTCCTTACCATTTTTCTTTAAACACCATATATATTGGATAATCTATAATAAAATTATTGTCATTTTAACATTGGTCACACATTCTCTTCCTTCAGGCAAAGTACCATGAGGACTTTGATTGGATGCGTGGGAGGGGCTGTACTCCTGCACTGGAAAACCAAAACATTCATGCACTGGAAACAGATCGAACAGCAGGCATTGGTGTCGGTCAGTAAATAATTTTATGTTTCTTAATTGCAGTATTATGATATAATATATAGTATTTAAAACAAACTCGGCTCAATTTATTCGATTAATTCAATTATTGGCACCCTTAGAAATCCATCCATCAATATGAGAAAGGCCAGAGAAAATAACAATTATGTGCAGCAAAAGCTTGTTGAGCTGCACAAATCAGGAAATGGCTACAAGAAAATAGATAAACAGTTGAAAATTCCCATTTCTACTATTAGAGCAATAATTAAGAAGCTTAAAATAACTAGAGATGTTAGGAATCTGCCAGGAAGAGGATGTATGTCTATACTGACCCCACGCACGCTAAGGAGGATAGTTCAAGTTGACAGAGAATCTCTAAGGATCACAGATAGGGAATTGCGGACAGTAGTTAGGCCTTGGGGTCACATGTCCCAAAGTACAAAGGTAACACTTTACATTTAAGGGTACATAATCTGCCAGTAATTTTAAGGCATTTACTAATGAATAACTAATCAGAAAGCAATTAATTATTAATAAGAGATAAGATAAGATAATCCTTTATTAATCCCACAACGGGGAAATTTGCGGTGTTACAGCAGCACAGAAGACAGAGCAGGAACAAATGAATAGTTTATATTAACAACAACAAGATTAAATTACTAATGCATGCACTAATGAATGAAGATAAAGGTAATATAGGCTTTCTTCAACATCTGAATTCATCAGGAATTCATGTGTTAATTAATGTTTGTTGTCACAAGATCCCTCTGACACAATATTGTGTCTATCAAAGTCAACTATGTTTTTTCTGAGCTCCATCTTCTCATCATCTTGTCCTTCTGCTTCATCTTGCTGTATGTGCCTGTTTCTATCTGTCAGGTCTTGAGTTTATTGTTTTTGATTTCGTATGTTACCTCATCTGTTTCTGCCTACCCTAGTGTCTGTTTATTGAACAAAATTAAAAACTTACACTGATATCGTTTTGCAACTAGTCCTCATTTGGGACAGTTGCCGTAGTTTTAATTAATCTTTCATGTTAATAATATGACATGACATGTTTTAACTCATATGTTGATACACAGTGCCTCATGAGGAAACGGTCTATCCTACATTTACCATTAACCTCGGAAATTAGTTAATAATTAATAGGGAAAGTGCAGTGCCTTTCTCCTAGGGTCATAAGAATCTTTAATTCTATGCACATTTTTGTGCTTTCCCCCATCTACTACACCTGATGAACTCAACTGCTAATTTACAAGCTCCTGTTGTACTGAATAGGATGATACTAACAGAGCTTCTAGCAGTACGCCATTGTGTACTAACATTCTTTTTGTATGCTTAATTAACGCATGAATTCCTGATAAATTCAGATGCTGAAGAAAGCCTTTATTACCTTCATCTTCATTCATCAGTAAATGCATTAGTAATTTAATCTTGTGGTTAATATATGACTTATTCATTTGTTCCTGATTAATGATTCATTACTTTCTGATTAATTATTAATAAGTAAATGTTACTGGCAGGTCATGTACCCTTAATGTAAAGTGTTACCCAATCAAACACGACCTATATAACGACAAGTTGTACGTCTTTCAGAAGTAAAGATGAGTAGGGGTACACCACTCTGTGAATGACTGCATGATCAAATAGTGCAACAATTCAAGAATAAAGTTTCTCAACGTAAAATACCAAAGAACTTTTGCTTTTCATCATATATGGTACATATCATTAAAAGATTCAGAGAATCTGGAGAAATCTCTGTGTGCAAGGGACAAGGTCGAAAACCAGTATTTGTTGGCCATGATCTTTGGGCCTTCAGAAGGCACTGACACAAATGCAAGTCAAAACTCAGTTAAACGCAAACAAGAAAGCATATATATACAGGATCCAGAAATGCTGCCACCTTCTCTGGGCCCAAATGGACTAAATGGAAATGGAAAAGTGTCATGTGGTCCGACGATTTAACATTTGAAATTCTTTTTGCAAATCATGGACATTTTGTCCGCCAGGCTAAAGACCACTCAGCTTGTTATCAGTACAGAGTTCAAAAGCCAATATTAATGATGGTAAAGGGGTGCATTAGTGCACATGGCATGGGTGCTCATCTGTGATGGCACCATTAATGCTAAACGATATATACATGTTTTGGCAACATTTGCTGCCATCTAGATGACATCTTTTTGCTTTTTTCAGCAAGATGATGTCAAATCACATTCTGCATGTATTACAGCAGCATTGGTCCATATTAAACAGGCTCTAAACACTAAACTGGCCTGCCTGCAGTCCAGACCTGTCACCACTGGAAAGATCTGGCGCATTATGAAATGAAAAATACAACAATGGAAACCATGATCTGTCCTATGTTAAGCAAAAATGGGAAATCTACACTTTCAAAAATTACAGCAGTTGGTCTCCTCAGTTCCCAAATGCTTACAGAGTTCTTCTTTGTTAAAAGAAGAGGTGATGAAACACAGTGGTAAATATGCCCCTGTTCCAACTTTTTTGGAACAGATTATTGGCATCAAGCTCAAAATAGGCATGTATTTTTCAAAAAACAATAAAATTTCTCAGTTTCAACATTTAATGTGTTGTCTTTGTACTATTTTCAATGAAATATAGAGTTTAAATGATTTGGACATCATTGGATTTTGTTTTTATTGACATTTTGCACAGCTTCCCAACTTTTTTGGAAGTGGGGTTGTAAGATTTTGCTATAACCTGCCTTGTTCCATGACCTAAACCCCTTAGAAAACCTGTGGGATGTGCTCAAGTGGAAAGTCCATAGTGTGGACTTCAGAATCTAAAGGATCTGGAGAGGTCCTCTATGGAGGAATGGTCTGAGATTGTTTGTAATGTGTTCTTTGCAGAGAGAGGCTGCACAAAGTATTAAACAAAGGGATGCCATAATTTTGTCACACACAGATTTGAAAAAAATATTTATTTCCTGTTAAGATTTTTTTTTTCAATCATTGCATTTCAGATTTTTGTTAATATTTTGAATGAAAAATCAAAAGGATCAGAATGTTTCTTGCAGCCTGTTTTGCTCATTTTTACCAGGGGTGCCATTATTTGTGCAGGGCAGTATATATAACTGAGCCCATAAAAAGTGTCTTAAACCTAGTGTGTAATTGTTTGGATTGGTTGTCATTTAGGATTAATTAGTGATTGTTCAGTCATCTAATGCACTGTAAAATTTACAAATTAGCAATTTAATTATTTAATCATTTTTGTTGTCATTGCTGTTTGTATAAAGTAACTAACTGAAAATTAAAAATATTTTTGTCAAAGACCAAAAGGTGTGGAGGACAGATCCAGACTCCATATTTGATTTTGACCCTGTGGAGGACAATATTCAGTCTAAAAGCCTGCACAGAATGTGTGGTACTGCTGCACCCTTCTTCACACATCCCAATCTCACACAAACACACACACAAACACACACACAAACACACACACACACACACACACTGTGTATATATATATATATATATATATATATATATATATACATATATATATTTATAGGTGTGTGTGTATTTATTTTTTGTCTGCATTAGAGCGAGCTACCCATGTGACTAGGCAGCAGTCTGCACATTTCATACCTTCCTGTATGCAGTCTGTGTGCAGCTCTTTGGTGTCTGAGCCATGGGGTGATGAAAGTGTCTACAGCAGCACACAGGACACAGCTAGCGCAGGTAAGAAAATGCATGTGTGGATGCTTCTGCTAGCATGCGTGTGTAAATGTATTTGATTTCAGAAAGAACACATGGTAAAACATGCACTTAATTACCACTTTATAAGGAACATCTACCTTGTGTTTACACTCATTTTGCATTTTATTAGCTCCACTTACCACATAGGTGCACTTTGTAGCTCTACAAATACCAACTGTAGTCCATCTGTTACACTGTATACTTTTTAACCCCACCACAGAGCAGGTATTATTTGGTGGATCATTTGGTGGATCATTCTCAGAACTGCAGTGACACATGATGTAAGTGGTGGGTTAAGAGTTTTTAAACACTTAACTGTCCACTCTATTAGACAATCCTACCTTGCTGGTCCACCTTGTAGATGTAAATTTATAAATGATAGCTTATCTGTGGCTGCACAGTTTGTGTTGGTCATCCTGTAGTCTATCGTCAGTGGTCACAGGACGCTGTTGGCTGGATGTTTTTGGTTGGTGGACTATTCTCAGTCCAGCAGTGACACTAAATTGTGTATGCATACTAGGGCTGCAACAACTAATCAATATTATTGACAACAATAATAATTAATAAAATATTGTTGGCAATGAATCATGATATCCATTAGTTGGCTTCCGTCATTAGGGGGATCAGGGCAAAAAAATGCAGGAACTTACTGCCTGCGTGGTGCCACTGTCCTGGATGTTTTGAAAAATCTCTCTAACATTTTGGATCAGCAGCCATCTGTTAAAAACATTGTTGTCCACATGGGCACAAACAATATTGTGCATCAGGAATCAGAAATCCTGAAGTTGGATTTAATTTGTTTGTTTGACTTTCTTAAAAGTTGTGGGTAGAATGTTTTCATCTCTCATCCTCTGCCCACTCTTGGCCATGGGAACATTTTAGCAGACTTTTGAGTTTTTACACTTGGCTGCATTCATATCTGCATGATTTGTTGTTTATTGATTATTTTAATCTATTTTGGAATAGGGCTTGCTTTTTCAGGAGAGATGGTCTTTATCCAAGTAGTTTGGAGACATGCATGTTGGGTGCAAACATTTTCCATGCCATTCAGGTTGCTCCACATAACTGACTAATAGAGAGGAAATCTTCTTCTTCGGATTACAAAACTGCTTTGATTACCGATGTTGGTAGCGCCCGCTTTAGTGCAACAGACTTAAACATGTCAATTAATTAATGATTTCATCAATCAGACTATGGCTACATTCACACAGCAGGGAAAAGTGGCCCAAATCCGATCTTTTTCTTCCTATGTGACACAGAAAAAACACACTGAATCTGACATTTTCAATTCTGATTTGGAACACTTTTATATGTGGTACTGAAATCTGATATGTATCCAATATGCAGCAATGCAACTCAGTCTGAAGAGCCAGATCAGAATTCATGCTATAACTATTACGTCAATCAAACACGTCATTTGTCATAATTTCGTGCTGTGGAGAAGAAAAGATGGACGACAGCAGTGAGGGAGGATTTCAGTGATGGGATAGCGAGGCAACAGACCTCATAAACATTTGGGGTTATGTTTCCATACAATCAAAATTAGAAGGCCGCTCCGTGTTTGAAGAGACTTTGCCGAAGGAAATTACCAAACACGGCCACAGGAGAATGTGGCTACAGTGTCAAACGACAGTCAGAAGTCTGAAAGCAAAGTTTAAAGAATACACAGGGTGCTAACCAACCGAGAGCATTCTGGGTGATAAGCCCAGCAGTCAGCCTTTGGAACTTCTTGATAGCTCCTGTGATGTTGGCGGATATGTAACTGAAACCGAAATCTCCAGGAGTGGGCCTGCATCTGTTGGAAGTAATGAAGATGGCAAGACAGGTATGGGAAAGAAATGCTTGTCAGCTATTCGTAGCTCAGTCAACTTCACCTTCAGTTACTTAAATGTCACAACAAGTTACTGTAATGGACAAGGACGACTTCTAGATGAACATGCTGTAAACAAGATTAAACTGAATATTTAACCTCAAATGATTAGCTAGCTACTCTTAGTAGAACATAATAAGCAGTATGTTTTCCCTGTAGCAAGCCAGCATTGTTTCATGTTTGCTCACATCCGTCTGAATGTGCAAAAATCGTGCATATATATATATTGTCAGCATGTTCCTCATAAAGGGGAACAAGGTACACCATACACTTTGGAACTTCATCATAATTAGCATGTTTGCTGCCCATATTTAAAACTGAAATAAAATAGAAGGAAAATAACAGTGCTGTCATCCCCTTTTTGGGAAATTTTGAAGTGATTACAGTCCCTATATAATAGTTCTGAGAAGTGCACTTGACACAGCTTTTCACATTGAATAGTCTATTGCAAAAATAATGGAAGAGGAGCTATTGTTTAATTATTTTAATATTGTTTCTTTAGATCCAGCTGACACCGCCCCTGAGCCACTCCCATGTACATCTGGAGGAAGTTCATCATCTGGAGAAAGCTTATCAACCTTTCAAGAAAGCACATCATTGACAGCTAATACAGAGAACTTTGGATGTGCATGTGCATGTGCATGGCTTCTACTGTGTCCTCTGGAGGTGACTGACCTAGCTTTTGATATTGCTTTTGTGTGGTTACCAATCACCACTCTATTTCTGCTACATTTAGGTGGCTGCTTGGATGGATGAATGTTTACATTTGTGTGCAAAACATGACTTTAGTTGCACATTTTATATCATGATTATAGAACCTATTACCACTTGGTATATCACTATTTTATGTAGGCATATCAAATTAATTAAAATTAGAAAACCTACTCCTGGCAGTGTCCCTAACCTAAGCACTGGCCAACTCATTTATGTTGGTCCCCAAGTCCTGTTTCATGGCTGCTATGACTAATTATCCCACTGAGACAATAAATATTATATTCCTCATTGTCCATACGTTAAGCACAGTGCTGTATGTACCTCTAGAAAGAATGAACCCCTTTTGCTCAACTTTTCCTTTCACTTCTAGTTCAGTTACAATAGTCATTCTTCTAAAACTGTTTTAACATATGCCCTTTCTTTTTACAGCTAAATCTGTCAAGAACAGAAAGCCAAAATTAGTCTTAATTAAGCCTTCACTGAAAAATAAGCAAGGCCCTCAGCACAGATGATGCAGACCCTCACTTGAAAATGCAAGCAGCAGAACATGAGCAGAAGCTCAAAATAATGACAATGTTTATCCAGTTTCTAACCAGGTTCAACCTTATCCAACCTCCTACCTTCTACCCAGCACCTGCCCCCACCTCCATACATGACCAACCCAACACAACCTCCTTTCCAAAATTTTGCTCAGCCCTCTGCATTTCGCATGGCTCCTCCTCTGTCTTCCCCAGTAAACATCCTTCCTGCAAGATTTGGCTCAGCCTCCAGATGATGGTCAATAATGTTTGAGCATTTAGAGAGAGATCTTGAAGCTTGAAAGTTAGAACAAAATGTTTTCAGTGTGCATGTTCTGAAACCTTTAAGATACCAGCGTTCATTATAGTTACAATTGTGAATATTTTCAATGACCCAGATAAGTATGATGTTTTGTTTGTTTTAAACATGTACAATTGAATATTGCACTACCTCTAGACAAATAATTGCATTAAGAATGTGTTTTTTTTCAAGCAGAGTTGTGGACAATGTCAGGCTATCTAACATATATCTTGGTATGATTGTCAAGAGCAGAACAGTATAGAATTTGCATTTGTATAGAATACTGTCATAATATGGTCATAATTCTGATGCTGCATACAGTTCACATTAACCTTACACAAGTGTTTATTGAGAAACAAAAATATAGTTCCTTCAAAAGAGAACTTTTATTTTGTTAGTAAACACATTTTACAATGTTTAGTGTGTAATGTTCACAATGTTTTACATAAAATGGCAATAAACTTGTCTGTCACTACTAAATTTAAGGCTGAATGGTGGCTGATATCTTTTGTAACCTATAAATAAATTGTATGTATTGCTATCACTAAAACCTAAAAAGAATAATTACTTTAACTCAAAAACACTTCCAAATTAAATATGTCTGTGTAAAACAAAGTAACTTCACATTTATGTATAAAAGGGGTTTGTGCAGTGTTACAATGCAGCAAGAACCCACTCAACGTTCACTATAAAAAAGCTGTGCCAGTGCATCTCTGACTCTTACTGGGCTCACTATATCTTGTGCCCCTTCTTCTGCCCCTACTTCTGTTTCTGTACTCTAGAGAATCAGTCTGCCCAGGGTCCTCATAGGCCTTACCATGCTTTTCATACACATTGTGTAGTGTGCAGCATGCACTTATGATGGTGGGGACTTTAGAGATGTCTACATCCAGACGTTTCCCCAGGCATCTCCACCACCCCTTTACTCTGCCAAACCCACACTCCCACCATCATTCTGGCCCTGCAGTGTCGCTTGTCAAAGTACCTCTGCTGTTCAGTGAGGTTACCTGTGTCAGTGTATCCTTTGAGTAGCCAGCTTTGTAGGGGATACGCTGGGTCACCAAGTAGCATATTTGGTACTTTGATGTCACTGATCTCTTCTGTGTCCCGAGACAATGGAAATATGACATGGGTTACATTTGGGAGGATTAAATATGCTTTCATATTTCATTTTTAAAAGGTACATTTTTTAGTCAGTAACTCTTCAATGTTTGTCATGACACGTTCTGACAGCAGGCAGACATAGAGTATACAGTATGATATACAGTATTACTTCAGTTGGGCAAAATTGAAAACTGTCATAATTATGTTATAATGTTCAAATGATGAGAAATTAATTTCATTTCACATCCTTAATGGTTATAATCTACAGAAGATCAATGTTTTGTGTACGAGAAGGATATAGAAAAAAAGACCTACTTGAGGGAACAGTTCCCTTCTTTCTGCTACAGCATGGATTCTTGAATTTTTAAAAACCCTGGCATCATGGACACTGCCAGGCCATCCAACACATGTTGGTGAAGCTATCAAGAGCAGAACAATTAATATGGAAGTACAAGCAAATAATGGTGATTGATGA